TAAAAGACTGACTTCCGCAGCGGAACGGATGTCATACCTCTTGGTCTTGAGTACCCAGTGGTTCGTCAGCATCTGACATTACAGAAACTTCTTGATGTATCCCGATGGTCAATTGAGTCTGCACGCCACATCGATTAAACACATGCGAAAATAAAATCTGTATGAGAAGAACCTTTTGCGTTTGCGTTTGCGATCTGAGCGTCTGGGGATGAACCATGTAGAACGCGTTGCCGAAGAGGTGTGCAGTAGGGCTTGCAGTGCCAATTTCTCTATCTGTTCCACGTCCCCTCACGATATGTCGAGTGTTTAAGGTACACATGAACGAAACAGCGTATACTGGAATAGAAACAAAGGTTAGCACAAAAGCGGCCAAGTGGAAGATAGCCCACGTTTGCTCAAAACAAAGTAGAAGGCCATAAACAGGAAGTTCGTAGGATACAGATCGTACTGTCCATACGGTCAGGACGTGTTTCACTGATTTCTTTCTGGACTCACCAATACTAATGTTGTAATGCTGATGGTACTATAAATATGCTCGGATCAGTCTCTGGCATACGACTTTTTCCCACCAACCTTGTCAGAGTGCCCGTGTTGATGGCATAAACCGTGAGTCTGTTGACAACAGAGTCCGAACTTATGTTCAACTCAGTATGAGTAATCCGTCAGCTCAGCACATAGAATGGCGCACCTCTTGTAACCAGTTCTTAGCCTCCGCAAGAACAAGGATAAGGAAAGCGCAATGATGATATCAGTCAGGGCGCCAGCGCCCAGCGAAAGCGAAGCCAAAGTCTGTGACCAAATTAGAATCGCCACGGCATTCGGAACTGACGAGCGCTAACTTTCAAGTTCGAAATGTACGTCAGTTTGTTCAGCTGAAAACTTATCGATCACATGTCAGAACCTAGGATGGTTCTGTGAAAAAGAACGACATCTTACGCTCGTACGGCATATGCTTTTGTTATCAGGTGGTCAGCACTAGTCTCTTTCAACGGGTCCGAAATTGGAGGTACCTATGGCAAGCCCTGCTCGGAACTCGGCGGTCAGAATGGGCACGGGGGGAATCCTTCGATAGCGTACCGAGTTGTCCATATGTCAAGAAAAGCTGTATCGAGATATGAATGTTAAGCGACTATAGATAGTTTAAACAATGGTGTCTTACAATTAAGCATGTAATGGGAAGATTATGTCCGCTGACTGGGTCTTGTTTAGATACATCCCGAATAAACAGGACTTAAGATTCTTACATCGCCATACACGCATGGCAAAGCATCTGAGAAAGGAGTCAATAACCAAGGCATGATTGGGTGCACGTGTCGTACGTTTTAACAATAGTACCCACTAAGGCCTAGTGAAAGGACATAAATACTTCGCAAGACCCGTAAAATTTGACAGATACGTACACCCAAAACTAATTGGATCTGTTGAGTAGTCTTTGAGCCATCAATATTAGTTGAAGGGCACTGCTTACAATAAGCGACCATATCACGTCCCCAAACAACATAACTTGCGGCGACATATAATTTCTAGTGGTCTCTGTCAGCCGAGCATTATGGTGCAAGCTTTTCCACACACGATATCGTATAATAATACACGCAATGCCCAATAAACGCCTGGTCGACCATTTCTAAAACCCTACACCCGGGAAATCAACGGATCGGCGTGTCATCGCGAAAATCACCTGCATACCAAATTGCCGCCACCTGTCCACGAGTAAAATTAACTGGATAGCTTCGGAAGAGGAATGTCGTCGCACCAGAAGTTTATATACAGGTAAATCGGATGGATACCGCCGAAAATATGAAAAAGCCTGCACGCACAGCGCCCCGATTATTGCACAAGACACACCGAACCCGATTAATGCTGCGCCAAGGGTGGAATCGACACGGATAGGACTAGACATGGTGAGATGGAGGGAAGGATGGGACAGTATCGGAGGTAAGGATGAAGAACAGGGTGCTGGCGACTGACCACAAGTTGCAAGAATCCCCCGCTTACGGAAGTCGCTATATATGCCTTACCAAGTGCCGTGACATCAGGGTCCGGGAACAATGTATTAAATGCATTTCACACTAATCGAATTCGAGAAACTTTCGGTGACGTCCTCGATGGTAATGAATCCGCGTGTCATAGAGTCTTCGGGGCGTCGGTCATTAAGCAGCAAGAGCTGGAGCGCTTAGTTCCCGAGTCTTGAATACTGCAGCATATATGTGAGTCATCGTCACCGCAAATTCACCAGTTGGGAAGCCGATGCGTCAAACGGATCTGACTCGCAGTGTCCCAAGTACTACCAACCAGATTCACAGTTCTGGTATGATGCGAGATGATGCGTGGACCGGGGGCAAAGAAACGCCTCCCCCCGGTTCGTGGGACCCTACGCACACCATACCGAAGAAGAGCAAACAACTGACGAACGAAAATGAATAGAAGCAAGGGAAAAGTCACAGATTCTCCTCTTTCTGACCCGGAATAGTTGACTTCTGGAGTCGATAACATATCCGAGGCCTGGATGGCGGGTTCAATCTTAAGTTGAGAAGATACAGACCGCATGCCACATGGCGTGTATCACCGCACTGAATCCGCGTTACGAAATGTATGTTAGAGTGCCCGAGCGGCTCATGAAACGGTGTAAAATATATCTGGACATTACGCTTTGCGGTTAAAGTCAGCCGTCATGCATTCATGATTCGTTTTCTTGCGCGCAAAATCTTTCCGACTGGAGCACTCTGACTCTGAGACGCGGATTAACCATGAGTATTCAGGTGTGAAAAGATGACTGGATACAGTGACTCACGAAATATCTACATGTTTTGGCCGTAAGCTGATGACAAGGCACCCACTCTGACCCCGCACACTTCGAGGGGCGCTGGGAAAAACAAAAGATGATCTTGACGCCGCTAAATCCAATGATTTGAGTGCGGGAATCCTAGACCGGTGGGTGCGTGGTAGAAATAAGAATGCATTAAATGCTGTAAAGAATATCTATCATGATGTCGTCAGTTCAGACCAAAAGAAACAGGGTAGAAGCAACACACCTAACATATACCTTATTGCTTCTTCATATTCTTCTTTGCGACACTCTTATCGCTCCTCACCCGCGTTGATTTTGAAATGCTTGTTTTGCGCGATGAGGCTGAGGATGGTTTCTTTCGCACCCTATCACGCTCTTTCCCTTGCATCTTCACTCCCTCCTTACCCAACGCTAGTCTCGCCTTCTTCTTTGCGAGGCGTCGTGCCACACGGTCGGCATCGGCGGACTTGACGTGTTTGCGGGCCTCCTTGGTGAGATGAACGAGTCTTTCGCCTAAGGAAGGGTCACCAGCGGGTATTGACGGCTGGACTAAGTTCTTCGTTCCCGCGGTGACCAAAGTAGTGGTACGGCGTCCTCCTAGTAGCGTCTTGCAGCGTTGCACACGCAACTTGCGTTTGGCGAATTTGAGCTTGGCTTCTTCCAACGCCAGAACTTCGTCGACGCATTGTCGGTCCTGGTCGATAAGTTTAAGTTATCTGAGCAGAAGAAAGATGAAAAGAGACACTCACGGCAAATTGAACGTACGCAAATCCTTTCCCCAGCTGAGATTCTTTGTCTCGAACAATCCGAACCCTGGTCACCCACATGGGCAATTTCTTCACATCTCCATCTTGCTCGTTGTTGTTTGGCGGACCGCGCTCTCCTGTAACAAGCGTTTCGAAAAACACCCGGAGATCTTCTTCTTTGCTGCCGAAATCCAGATTACCAACAAACACTGATGACTTGGGATCACCGTCAACCGAGTCGCCACGGTCTTGAGAGTTTGTTCTGCTAACGAGATCCACACGAATAACACGATCCATGAAGGTCGAGCCGTTGCATACGTCAACCGCTAACCGCGCCGCTTCGTATGGGTCGAGCGTATGAGGCAAAGGAGGGAGATTGGATGGTCTCTCTTCTGGCGGAACCGGGTGGGCGAAAACGATATAAGCATTGGTGAGGTCGGCGGAGGAGTGGAAATCATGATTGATAAAAGCGATACGTTTCTTTTGGCTCGGTGTAAGAAATATCTTTTCATCATTTTTTGTGGAGTCGTCTTCGTTGTTGTCTCTCCATGACGAAGCACGATCCTTTCCATGCTCTCTGCCTTTCTTTGCCTTCCCCGGTGTCTTTGTCTTTTTCTCGGAGACAACATCCTCAGGAAGTTTGGACGTGGGAGTCTGAAAAGCGATAGAACGAAAACGAGTGGATTCGATTTTTGCATTGGGAACCAGACCAATAATATGTCGGTGTAGCTGTTTAAGCACAGACTGCGGGTGACAATGAGAACGAGTCGACATCGAGAGAAGGCGTGCGACGCACCTTTTTTTGAGCAACTTCGATAGACAAATTTCCAACGAAGATCGTGCGTAAATCCCGTTGGTCCTGCGTCTCATCAGAAGGAACGAATTTACGCTTCTGACTGGCACGACCAGTAGAAAGAGCAGTCTGAGCTATCGATTCGTGGACAAGTTTCGAGGGATCTTCGTCTGACTCGGATTCGCCATCCTTCGAAATTTGAACCTCTTTCGTCTTCGCGTAAGTATCCTCCAGTTTGTCGTCGTTCTCGCCATTGTCGATGGCGACCTCTACTGTATGCCTCACAGTCTTTTGGTTTTTTTTAGGCGCTTTGCCTTGCTTCGCGGACTCGAACGAAGTAGATTTCGGTCGCTTCGTAGAGGTGGTAGATTCTTGTTCGTGTTTACGTTTCTTCAAGGTGATTGCTGTGACATTACTGTTCGACGGCACAGATATAGGTGGGGGTTTCGTAGGCTGTTAAGGCGTAAAGACAGATGCTCCAGTCAGAGAAGGGCACTTACATTTGATTGGAATAGGGCATCGAGTTCCGTATCTATATGCTTGCTGCCAGAAGAGAGAAGCAAAGAATCCAACGTCATGGTGAAAATACGAAGACAAGCTTAACGGTAGCTCAGTATGGAAAGATGCGGCGCCCCTGGCTTTTCCTAATAATAAAACCTCGGAAGGTAAGCATGAGCGTTTAGCGCAGTGGTAGCGCGTATGCTTTGCATTGTCATGTGACTCTACATGATTATGTAATTAAAGGTCCAGGGCTCAATCCTCTGAACGTCGATATTTTTTCGCGTTCATTTAGAATGTACAACCTCAACGCGTGTTGCTCATTTTATCAGAATCTCTATTTTTGGATTTTTCCGCTATTGCAGCGCCTGAAAATCTAAGAACGCTTGAACTGTGTGCGGCTGAATATCCCTACTATGAGTCGCTGAATTTTGAAAAGAAATCTTGACTCTGCTGAGTTTCTGAGAGCCGTGGCGGGGGTATCGTATGCGTGAAGTAACATATAGTATACTGTTCCCTCCTCGGATAGTAGCAACGTCCCTGGACTTGTACCGATATGTATAAAGTCCCATCGTCCGCAAAAGTGACCAGAGGATGAAAGGTTATGAAGTTATAGGGCTTCATGTAAAGCTTCGATGTAAATCATGTGCGCGTAGTTTCGACGCGGCACATACCAGTTTAAAGGAAGAAACGCGGCCGCTGGCGATTAGGGCAAACGACTTTACTTATGCCGCGAGATCTTCTGTGTAGTATTACATTTACAATTCAAGGTGTCCATCATATATAAGTAATACGACAACGCATGGTATCGCCAACCTCCCATAGGAAATCGTGCGGGAGTTTCGTATAACCATACTTAAAATCTGGCCAGTGCAAAAGGCTCGCGGAGAACTGGCCATTCATTAATTCCCTGAAGTATGTCCGGCATTAGTCACTGCGGCAATGGATACATTCTCCTGGCGTTATCCTCACGTCCTCTTACAAGGTCAGGGAGCTTCCGCGTTCAAGTAGCGGTGTTGTTGATCTGGCTAGGCTGGTCCATCGGATGTGTTGTCATCTGTTCATAGCGCGCCGCCATTAGATCGTCTGGAGTCCCTTTTGGACCCCAGAGAGAAGTATATAGCCAGTTCCCCTCGGGGAACAAACATGTATGAACACGATTAAAACATCGTTGCACGATAAATTAGTATTGCGGAACAATATGCCGGATTTGTAGCAAATCTAGAGGTATGGCGTCGCCGTCTTCAGACGTAGTCGGTCCGCCTCTTCCTATGGGTAAGCTTTCTTGATCCTTATTGAATAACTCAGTGGTTCCGCCGACATTATTTCGAGATTTCATCACATGACTGGTGTCAAATGTCTTGGTGATAATCTTGTCCGTGCTATGCATCCCCTGATTCCGGATGATCTCCAAAAACATCGGCACCCCGATTCATTCGCAACGATAGATGTGCGATCCATGAAGTTCCTTGTTCGATCTTTACGTAGCTCGGAGGAATTGCTCGACTTCCCCTGAATTTGAAGGCCGACACGGATAAGGCTGCCGCAGGAATATATTGTTTCCTGTGATCTTGAACCGGAGATTTTTGGGACCGGAGGTGAGCATGAGTATCGAGTACAGAAGAGCAGACATTCCTTTCCTTATTTTGTACTTGTCTGTGTATTTAGCGTCGACGAATTGAATGAAAGTTCTGCACTCTGGAGTTTAAACCCGACGTACACGGTGAAGTCGAGCAGCAGACGACTTGAATGAGTAGGAAAGACCGAAGCATTGGCTCTGTACTCGAGTATCGTTCTAAATGACCTCTGGCATAGTAAGGCATTGGCGTTTACATAGGGCAGGTAAGACATTGTTAGTAATTAGGTCTCTCGGAAGAAGGAAAGCTTCAACTTAAGCTTTGAATATTAATGTTGAACGTTGAACCCTGACCAGGAAAGGACGAAAATGAAGTCTCCTCCTAAAGTGGAAGGAGATACTATCATGTGACTATATCGTGCGCATCGAGAAGTTATCCCGAACTATCACCTCTTTTCTTCCTCCTTTGATAGCTCACACTCCGAAGTCGCTGAAGCAACCTTATCGAGCGTTTCGAATCCAGCACAGTGCTGGGAACTCAAGCTGTTAACTTCCTGTGTTCTACATTCTACCCATCAGCAGCATTCAATATGACTACAGTTGAACTGTCAACATAGTTTGATATCTGACACTTCGAGTCATCTGCAATGCTATGCCATGACACCCATTACTTGATGATGCAAATCCAGCAGAGATTTGGAATACTTTCTCCTGTGGGCTCGACTCTGAGCCTTTTCTATTATCCTCCGCGTCTGGCGGTAATTATACGAACATTCGAATATTCGTACCCGTTTGATCTCATTTCCGCAATGGGCGTCGTTCGGAACGATCACCGCGCGCGGTCTTTCAACCGCCTTGATGTTTTGTCGGACGGAGTCGGACCTGAGACCCCCTTACTTGCGTATATCCTGGCCCCAGAGTATCCGGTATTGCGTTTTTTTTCATTTATATCATTTGCTGATTGACTGAATTGCTTGGCCTTCTCTAGATCGATCAACGGTGTGAGTGAACGTCCTTTATACTCGGTCAATTAAACTATGGAGTTCCTTACAGATGGCGGCGACGGATCAAAGATCTGTATCTGGCGCGCGTTTTGCACTGGAATAACCGGTCCCGTGGGATGCAAAGTATATAAGCATGACGGGCTCAACTGATATACCATTAACTCAGTCCAGCCATGCTCCCTCTTTTGCTCTCCGTGATAGCCACCAGCCATGTAATGGCATCGGCGACATATCCTCAGGAACCCTGGTCGATTGGCGGTGACCGTGTATGGAACTCCTTGAACGCGTCCGTCAACGGCCGCCTTGTTGCAGGCTCCCCCCTTGCGCAACCTTGCGTTGATGACCCAACATCAGCGTTATGTTCAGAGATACAGCACGGATATTTAGATGAAGGTACGTGCCAATATCTGCAGCAAGATGTGTACCGTGTTCATTGCGATGGTCAATGGTCTTAGTGTTTCGTTCGAATCGACCAGGCGGCTTCACCAATGCGCAGTGGGAAAGTTGTCAGGCCACCGGTCAACAGTGTCTCCTCGATTACACCAACACGAGTAGTACCAGTCCGATAGGGGCGCCCAATAAATGTCAAATGGGCAGCGTATCAAATTATTATGTGAGTGCCTTATAATGTTTGCGAGGGGCAGTTCCTGAATTGCAACGGCACAAGCTCGATGTGCGTTCTGCGAGGGACGTCTCAACTGCCTTTGAATTCTCCAAAACGTATAAAATTCCGCTTGTCGTAAAGAACACCGGAGTGAGTCCATCTGTTCGTTCGGCATCATACCGATGACTCATGATTTGTTCAGCACGATTACAAGGGGCGAAGCAGTGCACCTAACTCCCTCGGAATCTGGGTACGTCTTCATACTAGCCCTACGTACTGAGGCTTATTTAATAAACTTTCCAGACACATAATCTCAAACAAGTATGTGATACTACGTGTTGAAGGCTGCGCAGACGATGAACATTTGTCTAGATCTCGTATAATCATCGTTTCGTTCCTGATGGTTGTAGACATCCGCAGTCACCACGACCAGCGGTAACACTTGGGGTTAGTCTACTTTACATCTCGACCTAGAACTGATCAATTGATCAAAATGATAGGCTGGTGTCCAATGGTACGAGGCTTATGCCTTCGCGGAAGCTAACAACATCACCATCGTTGGAGGTAGGTCTAGATCTCGGAATTACCGCAGGTTCTGAATGTCCGTAGGTACCGACAGATCCGTCGGCGCGTCCGGTGGTTGGTTAATGGTTCGAATCTACTATCTCTTTAAATATCACTCGGAGTTTCACGGTTTTCCAGGGCGGCGGTCACAGCATGCTTTCAAATACAATGGGACTAGGCGTTGATCGTGTGGTACGCGTCATACATCAGTTTTGATCACTACTATACCTGATCTGTGAACCTTTGCTTCCATAGCTTCAGTTCAAGGTCGTCACACCAGATGGACGACACAGAATTGCCAACGCATGTCAAAATCAGGATCTCTTCTATGCGCTCCGTGGAGGTGAGCGTTCACGGCTTTCTCTATACCGTTGATCGTAAATAACATCCCCGGCGATAGGTGGTGGCGGGACCTTCGGTGTGGTACTCGAAAGCACGGTACTGGCATCTCCGCCGGTAAAACTTGAGACGGTCATCGTAACATTTAACCCGGCCGCTAACTCGACTCTCACCCAAGAACTATGGACCATCATGGCTGAGAATTCAGTGCGTTGGGCAGAGGAAGGCTGGGGCGGTATCTCGAACCAAGGTGTTGCCATTTACATCAACCCGCGCCTCGACGCCGGAGCAGCCGCTCGGTCCATGGCTCCGCTGATCAATTTTGGTCAGCGGTTAGTCGCTCAGAAAGTTACCGGTGCGAAAGCCCTGGTCACGACCTTCCCAACTTGGTCGTCGTTCTTTACCACGTTTTCTAGCCAATATGTGGCGGTATGGTTACTTTTATTTATCTAAGCATCCGGTTTCTTAATCTTTCGAATTCTCCAGCGCGTTGGAATACCACTAGCACTGGCCTCCCGGTTAATAAACAAATCCAACTTCGAGACGCCGTCGAGCCAAAAAGAACTAGTGTCCGCACTTACGGCCGCCAACAATGCCACAGGATCAGTGATAATACTTATCTCGGCACCTTCGTCTCATCCAGGTGATGGCCACACTAGCGTAACCGAAGCCTGGAGGGACAGTTTGTTCCATGTTACGCTAGTTTCATCGTGGAATTGGAATACATCGACCGAAGCAAAGAAGGGCCATTATTCGCTGGCTAGCCAAGCGATTGACCATCTACGAAAAATTACTCCCGACGCAGCATATGTGGTACGTTTTCATTTTACCACGCATTTGTATGTCGAGGCTGACATGTGGGATTCACAGAACGAAGCTGATGTATACGAACCAAATCATGAAGGTCAGTTACCCCTCAGTTAGCATACATGCGAAAGACTAACCTATGTTGTATTCAGTTGCTTTTTGGGGGTCCAATTACGATAGACTCTTGGCTATCAAGCACAAGTAGTACGTTTCATCTATCGTTTCTCGATATCTGCTTCTCAACATATCTTAGTGATCCTGATAGATTGTTGGAATGCTGGCAATGTGGCAAGTCCTCTTTCCCTTTCTAGCTTTCAGATCGCTGATTTTCCTCCGCGTCTAGTGGGCTGGACACCAGCATCTCCTGTGTACAAATGCT